ACCTGATGACCAGACGTTCTCCTTGAGGAGCTTCTGAAGCTCACTGCCACCTTCATGTTTAACTTTCCATATGATGTTCTTTTTCTGAAGTGCTGTATTGATTTCCTGCCAGATTTTTCGCACACCTTCTAAAAAAGCTCTACTTTTGTCTCGTCAGTCCTCTGAATATTTTCCCAGAAGTCTTGGGAATCATTCAAATGTTTTTCTTTGCCGTTGCTTTTTTCTAGATTAACTCTAGAAACCTTCCTTGGAACTCTGAAATGAAGCAAGTGAGGAATCCACTGCCTTAGATGTTACTCTTTATATGAGCTTGTTTTAAGTCAATAATTATTTAATGTGTTAAAAAAAATTTTTTCACTTATTACACTTATCTTTGTAAAAAAAAAAATCACTTGTATACAAGTTTTGTCTTATTTTAAGTGTAGTAAGACATTTCTACTAGAAACTAGACAAAGATCCTTGGTAAGAATTTGTGTTTTTGCAGCGCAGGATGGATCTAATGACCTTTAATAAATATAATCGTCATTTAAATCTGCAGTTTATTGATCTGAAACATTTCAGTTGAACACAAAAATCAAACGCAGTCCAACTATGAATACTTTTTCTGTTGAATTTAAATCAAAGTGATTACGAAAAGGTCTTAATTTTAATTTACTGAATGTTTAATGTAAAAAAAAAAAAAAGAAAAAAATTTCTTGCTTGTTTTTGTCTTGATCTCCAGATATTTTCCGAGTACCTCCTTATAGAGAGGAGCCTCGCTCCTTTATGATGCTGATGCTTTCCATGTTTTCAGGTGCAAAGGAGGCCGGCGGCAGCTCCCAGGGCCAGTGGGTGTATGTCAGCGACACCACCGTTCAGACTGTACCCGAGTCCAGAGTACTCAGCTCTCAGGCATACCTGCTCTTCTACGAGGAAATGCTGTGATCCTCCGCATCGCTCTACTTCTTTTGATATATTTTTGGTATTTAAAAAAAAAAAAAAAAAAAAACTCAATACAGCTCCTCATGCAGTTCGAATACAGGAAGAGAAGAAAGAAAAAGGGAAGCATTTATCTCCTTGAACAGACATTCTCAAACACACAAAGGATATGCAAGGAATAGGAGAAAAAGTAAATGTCGACATCATCTGGATTTTACCTAGAATTTCATTTCAGATCCTGAATTCAAACCCCCGTCTTCTGGGAGCGAGCTTACGAGAAAGACTTTGGAACTGGTTAGTATTTCTAATTAATCTCAGTCTGAGTACCTTGCTGAAGGTATAAAACGCATGACGGAGTTTGCTACCATAACGAACTAGCAACTAGCAGAATCAATGCATGCCTAACCGCAGTCTGCACTGACTTGTTGATGTCGATACATTGTGTGTCAGAATGAAAGAGCGAAAGACAAATGAATGTAGCTGAAAGGTGCTATGTCTATCAGTTTGGGTGGTTACAGTAAATATATCAATATATTTCATCTATCTTGTCTCCATGTTTATGCTTGTCTGAATTACACGATAATGTTGCCAAGTTGCTCTTTGAAGTTCTGTTCATCTGCAGGTCCTTTAATGCTTGTATCCCATCATGCACTTGCAAGAGGAGAATCGCCGACTGTTTTTGTGGCGCTGTCGTCTGGTATGAGATTAGCTGCTGCTGCCCTAAAAATTTCAAGGTCACTGTGGGTTATTATGGCATTTATTAAAGAGTTATTGTAAGAAGAACACAGGGTCCAATTTTGTTTGTCGTTCAGTAATGCTGGCAAAATGGCAAAAAATGTCATTTTTGTTAAGCTAATAGTCTTCAGTTTGTTTTGAAGAATTCAAAACACATAAATCAGCAATTTTACCTAATATTTATTTTAAAATATGATTTATGTTGACTAGAGGTATGTGTGTGGCTGTGTTTGTCCCGCCTTGCAAAGAAAAACCTCACATTGAGTCATTACATGTTTCATCAGCGGGGAAACAAGAGGAAAAAAGAAATAAGTCTGCTTCCCTCTGAAACAACTTCTGTACTGAAGTTTGTTTTTAATTAGTGCGACCTGGTAACACTCGGGTGTGGGGCTATTGCTTATCACCATCTGATTACTGATTGGTCGAGTCTAAGGTCCGACGACTCCTCTCATTTCTTGATATCTTTTTACGTCTATTTTTTTTACTTTCTGCTGTACAGCAAAGACAAGACAATTCATTATGAGACAAACATATCAAGTAAATGTAAGAAGTTCTTGCATTGGTAATATTGAGAAACCCACTAATATTGCTAAAAACTAATATTTTCATTAATAGTTTCGCCCGTTTACCACTACAAACAGCTGTCGGCGAATACTGATGAAAACTGCTACACATGGCACCTTTTAAGCACATATCACTCTGTAAGCCTATTTGCTTTTTATTTTATTGGAATGTACAAATATCAGACTTTCTGTGATCGAGTTTGCCAAAGACAGGTTTTGCGAAACGGAGGCGAGTTGTACTTTATTTATGCATACTATTGTGAGGTCACCAGTTCAGCAGCATTGCTCAAGCAAACATGGACGACGTTTGTGAAATCAACGGTACCTCATCTGCCTTCGTCGGGTGTGGATCCTGCTGTAAACTAAAAGCACACAAGAATATAAATGATGTGTTTTACAGAGCAGCAGATGTAATCTTCCTCCATGTCACGGGGATGAGAGCAAAATTAAACATTCTTCATATCAATTTGAAGAAATCAGTGAAGGCTGGTTTGGGGGAAAATGAATGTATTGCCTAATTTTGGCATCAGAATACTTTTTTGTTCTCGCTTTGCTCGCCAATCATTTGCCACAAATGTATAAAGAGCTTTCAGACTATCGGGTCACAACCTGGAGTTTAAAAAAACAAAAGAAAAAAGGATGAATTCAGTGCCTCTCCCTTCATATTAACAAACTTGTATGTGATGATAAATATTTGCAGAGTGTAATTTAAACAGGGACGTGTGTGTTTTATTTATGTACAGTATAGAGATTTCTGTTGGCAGAAACAGTACAAAGTGGTATTTGTATAAAAGAGAGTTAAAAAACTCATGGTGCTTTGGGTGTGAAAGATTCCCACCCCCACTGGAATTGAAAGTAAGAAAAATTGAAATTCTGTAACGCTTCAATAAACGTTTTGGAATGAGTAATAACACACATTGTATCGAAATAAATCTGATTTATGAACTGTACAGTCTGCAGGACTCCTTCATTTTTCACATTCCATCATTTTGTGGAACAGTGCTAGCTAAAGAGAAATCAAGACAGATTTTATGTTTCCTACTTTGAAACTGTTGTCATACCGTTTTTTGTTGTTTTTTTTCTGTCCGGGCTGTCAGTGCGCATCCCGCCCATCGTGGCCTGTTCCCGGCCATGACGGGTGCAAAGCAGCACTGCTTCGGAACATGTCGCGAGCTGGTGAAGAGGAGGTGGGTGTGGAATCATGAAAAGGGCAACGTCGAAAAGCATCGTCCCGCGTGTCCTCTTGACTCGTCGCGCGCGGTGACATGCCTGTCACACAGCTGGAACATTGGGACCGGTTGTCACGCGGCCACCAACGAAAACGGCAAATCCCTCCTGAAATGTGTTATTGTCTTTTTTTTTTTTTTAAGAGAGCAGGAGGGCATCTAGCTGGAGGAGATGCTGCTGAGGCGTTTGACGTGATTTAATCTCACTTAATGAAATGTGCCTTCTTCTCCCCCTCCTCTGCACACCCCCCAACATTTTGTGAGACACTGGGATGAAAGTAATAAGGTGCTGCTGGAGTGCTGCCTTACCAGCAGTGGAGGTTAAAATTGTCTTCTTCACCATGCAATCTGCTGTCACTGTCGGCCTCACCTCGGCAGACGCAGGCGCCCAGCACTCAACACATTTTCTCATGCTAACGTCGACACGCTTGGACTGCACGTGCCTGGGGCTTTGTTCTTCTCGGGGTGCCGTTCACCACGAACACAGCTCAAGATAGCATCGGACAACACCTGCAAAAGTCCTTTATCAAAGGTTGGCAAGTGATTATTTTAAGACTGCTGAATAATACTTTCGTGATACATTTAGTGTAGGTTAAAGTTACGACTTATAACTTTTGTATGAAGAAAAAATAAATATATATAGGTAATTTTCATATTTTCTTTACTTGTTCAATCTGTCACCATATTTCAAAGAGGATTAGGTTCCACTGGGAAAAAAAAATTATTTTTTTCAGTAGCTCAGAAAAGAAAGATCTCAGAATTCAGAGGGGAAAAAAGTAAAAAATAAATCAGTGGCCCAAAAAAAAACAAAAAAAAAAACAAAACTCAGAATTCAGAGGGGGTTTGACATCTGAGGTTTGACAAGAAAGCTGTGGGTCAGAGGAGGATGATGATGAGCTTGTTCCTGGACTGAGCCTGTTGAAGAATGTGTTCAGGTCATTTGCTCTGTCCAGAAAATAATATTGTTAAAGAAATCATGGTGGCATGTTTTTATGTAATAAGTATGTAATGTTTGGATTGAAGAAGATATGCTGCATAATCTGATGTCATTACAATGGAGTATTGTGCCTCAGTGCAAAAACACACATTTTGTTGGTTTCTGAAGAGTAAAAATTGAACAAATGTATGCACTTAAAGATTAAGTTTATATTTCACAGTCATCAATGCTAAAGAAAAGTCTCACAACAGTGTGAAAATCACAGTGTTTATTTACAAGACAAGAAGCGGGAGGAAGAGATTAAAAAAAATGTAACATTTCAGTGTCAGGTTATTTTTATGTATGATGTAGTAATTATACATGTATTTTTGGGCTTATTGTATTCTGTTTTATACTTGTGTGTAACTTTCACTTGATTTATGAAAGCATGAAAACTAATTAAGCTGATCATTGAGTTAAATAACATGAAGTTATAAGCAAATTCAATAAAAGCTTTTTTGCCCGTCGCTGCTTTGGTTTAATTCAGATATCAGATTTGGATAATTTATGTTAAATCTCTGCTTTAGAGCAGCAGAACAATCATTTGATTTATTTTTTTTATGCTATTTAAACTCCAAAGTCCTGGGCTGTTTCACCTGTTTGCAGCTCATTTTGCTGTTTGCTGCATGTTTACAGTTGTAGGCCACAGTTTCTGATCAAGTCACCATCATCTCCTCAACCTTCACCATAATCTGTTACAACCAGTAGATCAGTAGATGGACGAAGTGACCTGCTTTAATTGTTAGTCAACTCATGCTTGGTTTGTTACTGAAGGACAAACCAAGCACCCTGATACAACAGGAAACTTCATCTCGGGATTTCCAGCAGGATTTTCTGTGTCTCCTCTGTATCGTCTCTCTCCTGATTGGTCCAGTGCTGTTGTCTGGTCTCAGTGATGCTGGAGAATCAACACCTGATCAGACACATATTCCTTCATTTCTGTCTAAATAACAGATGATTGAAAGAGACTTTCTGATCAAGTCATCATCATGTCCTCACCTTTTCCACAATATGTTACAACCAGTAGATCAGCAGGTGGAGCAGGTTTTCTGTTTTAATTGTTGGTCAACTCAAGTCATGTGACATGAGTTGACGAAGAAATGAAATAAAGAGAAAAGACAACAGAGTTAAAAAAAAGAACATGGGCAGAAGAAAGAACAGTTTTGACATTTGACCTCAATTTCATCCATATTTAAAATTGTTAGCTGGGTAAAAATAAGTTTTCTTACTTTTTTTGTCAACTGGGTTCTCTTATCTACCTCCACCTTACTGGTGGTGGTGTTGCAGGTGGAGGTTTACAGGCTGATGAGGATCCTCTTCACTTGATTTCTGTCTCTTTATTCTGCACACGTCCTCGGGTGTCCCTCTGTTAAACCTTTGGATTTCCAGCAGGATATTTTTTCTGTCTCTTCAGTCCTCTGTGTCTTCTCTCTCCTGATTGGTCCAGTGCTGCTGGTGATGATGGAGAATAAACGCATGATCAGACACCTATTCCTTAATCTCTGTCTAAATAACAGATCATTGGAAGAGACTTTCTGATCAAGTCATCATCATATCTTCACCTTTTCCACAATCTGTTACAACCAGTAGATCAGCAGGTGGAGCAGGTTTTCTGTTTTAATTGTTGGTCAACTCGAGTCATGTGACATGAGTTGACGGAGAAATTAAATAAAGAGAAAAGGTAACAGGGTTAAAAAAAACACAGAGAATATACATCTACAAAAAAAAGAAAAGTATGAAATTTGATCTCAATTTCATCCATATTTAAAATTGTTAGTCAGGTAAAAATAAGTTTTCTTACTTTTTTTTGTCAACTGGGTTCTCTTATCTACCTCCATCTGACTGGTGGTGTTGAAGGTGGAGGTTTACAGGCTGAGGAGATCCAACCTGGGATGATCAGAGACATTATTGATTTGCAGAATCTGAATCTGGGATCAGAAACCAATGCTGGGTTCTCTACAATGTTTCTCAAATTGTTTAATATTCAATGTCTGACTGATGATCAGGTGAAATTTCAGCTTAAGATTTTATGGGAAAGCTTGGTTTGTTGTTGAAGGACCTACTTCACATGGTCTCTGTCTGTTTATTCTGTGTCCTCAGGTGTTCCCCTGTCCCATCAGGAAACTCCTCCTTCCATCAGCACAAAGCACATCAAAGCTCTGCTGTTATGAAAAGACTCAATAAAAAAAATCATGCAAAACAAAAGTGTCAGTGAAGAGAAAGTACAGCAGAAAATAGGAAATAGATTTGAACATTGACCTCAAACTCCTGCATGTTGAAAATTTTTTCTTGTGTAAAAGTACATGTCCTTACATTTTTTTCCAACTGGGTTCTCTTATCTTCCTCCATCTGACTGGTGGTGTTGAAGGTGGAGGTTTACAGGCTGAGGAGATCCAACCTGGAATGATCAGAGAATCAGATCTGCCACCAGCAGGAGGCAAGCAGTATCATGTGAAAGTGGAATGCAAAAACTTACAAGCAGAGTGAAAGACAAGGGATCCAGAAGGCAGGAACCACATGGACAACGACGAAGGGATCCAGCGACGAGCAGCTAAAACCTGAAAGATTAAAAACTGGGAGAGTGGATTAGTAGAGGAACAGGATAGAATGATTTACTATACTGGAGAGCACTATGTAGGGAAGCACCACTATTAAACCCTGAAACATGGGGGAGTTGAGAGGAAAACGCAAAGATGAAGAAAACCCTGGTGCAAGGTGCTACCTAAGGCTTCCGCAGTCCTGCCAGAATCCTTACCATCTAAAATGCTAAGTCTAGCAGCGGGATAAAGAAAAGCACCGATGCAAGGTGCTACCTAAGTCTTCCACAGGCTTGCTAGAAAGCCATTGGCTTTATTAAAAAACAAAAGAGAAATGATGTCCTAATGTGACTTCCCAAATAGGTCTTCAGTTTTTACAGATCCCAATCTAATCAGAGTCTCCTGACAAGACGTAGCGAGGTCTAAACCACACGTATCTGGAACTCGCTCTTGCTGTAATTCCACTAGATGTTGAAGGTATTGGTTCCTCTTCAATGTCCTCTTCAGTCTCCATCCAGAAACACGAGCCAGGGAATGGAATTGGAGTTTCACATTGTGTTGAAGGTGAAGAACTGAAAACACGGGGTGACAGAATGGGATCTTCACAATGCGTCAATGATGAGGGACTGAGGACAGGGGATGACAAACCAGGACGTTTACGCGCCATTTCACAAGAGGGACTGAGGACGGGGGATGACAGTCCAGGATCCTCACACGACATCCATGGTGAGAGAAATCTCCATGCCACCTTTCTGAGGGTGCTTTCAAGGACCTCGTCCCCACTGGCATCATCACTATACTTGGTCCTCTTGGAGGGGAGCTCCTCTTCAGCATCACTGTCCCTAGTCCTCTTGGCTAGGGGCTGCTCTTCAGCATCACTGTCCTTTGTTCTCTTTCTGTTTATGCCAGTCACAGATGTCACATGAGCCGCGTCCTCTTTCAAACCTACCTGATGATGTTGCAAGGTACCAACAGGTCTAGATTCCTCTGGACGCAAAATGGGCTCTTCCTGTTTGTCAAGTCCAGATGAGAATTCAAGTGAAGTAGAAGGAGCTGTGTCTTCTTGAGGCTTCTGAGCCACCCCGATGACTTGTACGTATTTGAAATTTGGGGGAAGAATCTCAAGAAGCTGTGACGCAACATCGGCCACGGTCAGACTACTGTCAGCGGAGCACAGCTGATGAACCGTCGAATCCAGAAGTTTCAATGACTGTTCAAGCACTTCTATGCCCCACAGGAATTTAATGTTTGGTCGAAGGACCTGGACAACCCGAAGTCGGGATTTAATGTCATCCTGGTCTTCATTACCTACCTCGTCTTCACTGGAGCTGGTAGTAGAGCTACCACTGGAGTGGATAGTACAGTCATTACCTACCTCGTCTTCACTGGAGCTGATGGAACAGTCCACAGACTGCGGAGGTGAACTATACCTCGACTTCTCTCCATGGTCTTCAGAAACCATGTCAGTTTCATTTAACCACACCTTACCGTGTTCCTTACCGTTGTCTGGAAGTCCCTCCAACGTCGGGGATCCATCTGCTGGAAGCGCCATGGTATGAGCTGTGAAGGAAAAAAACAAAGCAAAACAAGCTATAAATCAGTATCTTGACCTTCACAAAAGTCCAAAGCAATGTTTAGAGGGAACACTGAAATACCAACAATACAAAAACCTAGGTTTGTGAATGTGTTTGTTTTTCTTGAATATATTTAATTAACAATATTATTGCTATGCCAGATGTGATTATACAACAAGAATGGGAATTAAGAGATAAAATAAATAAAGCTTATCTTTAGTCACAAAAAACAGCAAAAAACACAATTTTACATAAAAACCAGAACACACTCTAAAACTCAATGATCAATGATACACCATAAACACTCAGACAAACAAACTTGCAGTTTCATCTTGGTACCAATCAATCACTGAAGACAACAAATCAAATTTAGACTTATTGGTAATTCATCCCTAGCCATAAACTTTAAAACATTTGGGAACATAAATTAAAGAGCTATACACTGCGTGTAGGATTTTTTAATACTGAATGAAACACCTCTAATCTTAGATTGTGCCATTAGTATGAATAAAATAAAACCCTATAACAAGTTACTCAGTTTACCCTTCTATAACAACCCATCCTCACAAATCTTTGATGCTACAGGTACATTTTATCATTCTTAATAATAACCAGGGATAAGATACGTGATCTATTCATTATTATACTTAAATCACTGCTTTCACAACTTTAATGCTTTAAAAGTATAAAAGTTAAAAAAAATTTAAAAAAAAAAAGATTTCCAATAGCATTTGAAATGATCAAAATCTTAATTGTACCTAATCAAACTAAATTCCTTTGAGCTCCACAATTTTTCACAATCACAGCCACAGCTACTCTGACATCTGATCAGTACTACCTTCATACTCCCACATAGCCAACAGCTGAAATGTACATCTATAAAATCAAACGTTTTATAGATGTACATCTTTTAAAGTAGGAATCTACATAAACAGGCCGACATAAGTGGCCTTTCCTCCGTTTCCAGGAGCTCCTACAAAAAATGAAAGTGTTTATTTGGTTTAGAAATCCATATACAGTCTGTTAATCTGCATCCCTTATGTGTGCATGATGCTTCAAAGTCTTATCACATGTTAATTTTACTCCAAATGGGTTAGTTATGGCTGAAGGTAGTGTTATGAAATTCATTCCATCAGTCTGAAAATCTGATGGAATCTGATGGTTTTTCAAAAAACCCAACCCAGCAATAAACTCAGATGAATGTTAACACAATTATATTGCTCCAAATGCTTCTTTCAATATTACCATCTCCATGGAGACAAAGAACATCAACAAAATAGATTTTCTAAAAGTAATTCCCTCAAACTAAAGTTTTCCAATCACCACACCTCTATAAATATTGCTGACTCTAAAATGTAATCAACATGAAAATATATTAGAGCTCCAAATATGCAAAGGACCAACACAACTAAACTACTTAGAAATAATAATTCAAGTATTAAGGTTTTATTTCAAGCAACGTATCCAAGGAGACCAAATGTGTTATTGAGGCATTTTTTGAAACCTGGAACAGGCATTGACTTCTTATTCCAAAGATCTGATTAAAACAAACAGATCTTATAAAACCAGAAATAACTTTTTAAACCACATGAGCAGTGTTAAACCCCACAATCCCCCCAAAACTTTAACTAACAAATGAATCACAACTGGACCAACTGGAACCGAGATCATTGTTTTTCTAATGAATTTTAACACTCCAGTAACTTCGGAAAATGATAAGTCACTGAAATGCAATCAAATAAAAACACTATTTTCAATGTATCCATGGAGACTACATATACTGCATTTTTCAAAAAGCTGGTTCCAAAACTTTTTTCAAACCAAAACAACTACAGTCAGCTTACTGACATTTTCCAAAATTTCAAACTAGCATATAAATACAAATACAAATTCAATGAATTCACAAATATGTTGCGTCCCAAAAATGCAAATTATACCTTCCTAACCAAACAGTCAGAATTTCCAAAAACTGAGCACCAAAGTCATCAAAGCTGATTTTATAACCAACTCAAATCATGTTTTTTTTCCTTTTAAAATCAGTTTACCCATGTAGGAAAACTAAACACATATATTATAGTCTGTCACTAGAAATTAATATTATGTATATATTTTAAGTATTAGGTTTATTTATTGTATTCAGATCACTGCATCCATGGAAAACAAACATGCTTGTCAGGGCATGTTTTAGAAGTAGGTCAAGGACAATCTAGTTTTGTTCATCTGCTTTATATAAATTATTTTAAAAATGTATTGTCTGAAAACAATATAAGATCATCACTGTAAGCATTCATGACATTTCTAAAATTAGATCTAAGAGATAAAGTAAATAATTTAGGAATATTACAGGAGGCACGTGTTTTATAAGTGTTTCTTCATTTTTTTATTGAAGTCATTTTAAATAATGTCACCAGTGTATCTATGGAAACTAAATACGTCTGTCTGGGCATTTAAAAAAACAACAACAAATGGACAAAAACCATCCAGCTTATCAAGAATTGAACTCCAAAGTCGTCAAAGCTGATTTTCACAAAGAAATCATTATTTTGTTTGTGAAAATCAGCTTTGATTGATGATCACTACGACTATATATGATTCACTGCCTATTAATGGTCTATCATAAACGCACACACACTTATAATGCTTACTACTGGGACAACAGTGGTAGGAGTTTGCCCTGCAATGGCCCGCCTCTGTCGTTGTGTCCTTGAGCAAGGCACTTCTCCCACCTTTAGCTGGAGTTTATTGCTGGCACAATAGAACATATGTGGCTACAATCCATTAGCTTATTATCATCAGTGTGCTGTGCATGAATGAAAATTACAGATTTTATGTAAACCGTCTTCGAGTGTCCTAATAAACCGCTAGTCTGATGTGAATACCATGGAAACCACATATGTTTGTCAGGGCATTTTTTCAAAAAACAAAACAAAATAAAAAAAGTAAAGACCAAGAATTGGACAGAAATCTGACTTTTTTTTCAAACCAGCATAACAATTAATATCCCAGAAATTTATCCACAAATGTCAATATGCTAATACATAAGTCACTCATGTTAGCATTCCTGGCTATGCTAAAAAAAAAAAGGAAAAAAAAAAACAGATCAATGTGTCATATCTTGAAAAAATAATTAAATTAAGCAATTAAAATATATGCAATTGTAAGGGTAAATACTATTTTTTGAATGTATTTTTTTTAAATGATATTAAATATTTAACTCATTTCATTTAGCGTATCCATGGAAACTGAGCGTTTATCACGGCATTTTTCAAAAAATAACGGTCAAAAAAACAAGCAAATTTTCCATGAATTCGACGTTAATTTAACTATTTTGACTATGATTAAGTAAAATACATATATTTCTTAAATCACTACACCACAGTTTAACATTCCTGACATTTCCAGCGAAAGTCAGTTAAGAAAAAGGCTCATTGGTTAAGAAACATCTATGCTAGCAAAGAATGCTACTTGTCTTTGTTTTGTACAGCAGTCAGAATTTCTTTAAAACACACACACAAACACAAAATAAACTAAACAAGTCACTAATATTTTAGTAATAACTTGCTTTCGTTTATTAAAAATAGCAGAAGAATGATTTTAACCTTCCAGCTGATCACCCTGCTGGTGCTTCTCCTGGCCAGGAACCGTCTTCCGCAGGTTTGTTTACCACAGGCTTCTTCAGCAAGTGCGTATTTCAGCAAGTGCTTCTTTCACAAGTTTTGCTAGCAGACTTCTCGACAAACTCAAACCTTCCGAGGCTTCAAATGCTTCTTCAGGCGTCTCTCTCAAAAGTCCCGTCGCAAAGGGGAAGAATTCAGAAGGTCAGCGTCATTTATTGGGTTCAGAATTCTAACCTCGTTTCCATGACTTTTATTGACGAACGCACGCACTGGTGCGTGAGAGAATTGGACTACAAATAACGCAGATAATACAAGTATCGCGTTGTCTTGTTTACCACTCCGGATGCTGCCACCTACTGGTGGCCAACCAGTCTAAGTTCACAATGACATTTTTAAAACTTACACTACTGGTGTAATGATATTTCTGCTTTCATTCTTAACTAACTCAGTTTCGGTCCTCCAAATGGGAAAACTTCTCTCTGCCGTGAAGCCTGCATGGGACGAAAATTCAAATTCAAAATTCAATTCAAAAATACTTTATTGATCCAAAAGGAAAATTAAATGTTGTTGTAGCTCATTCATTCAGATTGTTCAACAAGTTATTGTAGATGGTTGATTGCTGTTGGCAGGAATCTTTTGTAGTGGTCTGTATTACAGCAAATTTGAAGAAGTTTCTGACTGATGATACTATGTTTTTTCAAGACGGTCTCATGAAGATGGCCAGAGACACCCATAATTTTCTTAATTTTATGAAGAATCCTCCATTGTTTCTGTCTTCTCTCTTCTGATTGGCCCAGCGTTGTAGTCTTGTCTCAGTTATGCTGGAGAATCATCATATAATAAGACACACATTCCTCTGCCTAAAAAATGATGATTGAAAGAAACTTTCTGATCAAGTCATCATCATGTCCTCATCTTTTCCACAATATGTTACAACCAGTCGATTAGCAGGTGGAGCAGGTCTTCTCTTTTAATTGTTGGTCAACTCAAGTCATGTGACATGAGTGTCACCAATGTAATCTGGCAGAATTTTTGATGGATCTGTCATATTTGTGGAGTTGCTTGAGCCACGCCTTCAAACACAGGGGATATTTACAGATGAAGGAAAGCATTATTTATTTATTGTCAGAACACAAAATTTTAAAAATAGAATTCAATCGATGTAAAGTAATGTAGCTACACACTCGTGTACAGTAGATAGCGGTATGCACCTTAAAGTTGCTTGCGATCCACCAAGACAAGAAGAAGTCGGCCTTTATGTAACTCTTGATAGTGCACATGAAGAACACATTCTTTCCTAAAGGTAAGCTAAATATCCAGAGTCTACCACTTCCAATGCACCACGCCTAAACAAAACCAACCAATCAGAGCCAGGAGGAGGGTCTTAATGTTGTCAATCAACTGTTCGACATGCTAATTGCTGAGAAATTACTTACCATTACAGGAAAATTGTTTATCTGCCATCACTAGTGGTCATAGCAACTGACCTCAGTATTCATGACGTTCTTAGCTTGCTGCAGCATAGCAGAGAGCAAAGGGGGAAAAGGGAGTCCAGTGTTGCTTTGGGCCCGCTACAATTTTGATTCGCCTGTGATGGCCACCAAAGCTTGTATTGGTGCTGCGTTTAGGTGCTATTTGCGCTCGTCGACTCATTTACTTAGCATAGTGAAATCTAAAAGAAAAAGTATTTAATTCATCCATCACTAAAAATTTAATAAAGAATTTTGGACTGGCTCAATATTTAGTTGACTGATATTCTTTTTTTCTTGTTTGTTTTATTTAAGTGTTTATTGAAACAGAAAATCCTGAAATATGAAAGCTATATACATTTTAAGTAACAAAAAAACCCACCTCTTTTTAGTCTAAGCAAGTCCCACCATTTTTTTTGTTTGTTTTTTTATTTTTGCTTTTTTCTTATTGAACATACAATCTAATTCGTTCTGCTTACGTGCAGCGTGACACATCTTTACCCGCTCCTAAACTTGAATCTCAACATTCCCAGTTTTATGTGAAGGCAGCATAGCTCCGCTTCCTCTGTACAGCTTCTTGCTAACTGCAGCCATTTTGATTTGAACCGCATCTCCGGAGAGAAGCAGACTGGAAAAGGTGGGAATTGTGTAACCCTAAGAAAAGCACGCGTGTTTAATTTAATGTCTACTCTCCTTTTAACCGTTTTGCGAACCGCAGACTCGCTCCTGTGTTGCCTTAGAGATAACAACCGAGTCCCCTGCGAGCTCTAAATCTTAGCTAACATTAGCCGACGTTAGCTTCCTTAGCTCTACATTCGAGGCTGTCTTGGAGGTTGGCATTTCATCTGCTCGTGCGCTTTATTTTGGTCTCGCACGTCAACATGACATAAGACCCGTCGCTTCACCTCGCCTGTATCCAACACAACAGCTGAAAAAACTGTCAAATTTTTTTAGGAATTCACGGCGTTTTTAGCTAGTGAGCCAGCGTCAACGTTGGCGCTTTTATAGCTGTTAATGGGAGGCTGTCTTGTAACGTGTGTTAGATTACGGATGTCGTCTTAGCCGAACCTGAATGTCACTTGTTCGGCATATTGCAGGTGTTACTGCGGAGAGGAGAGATGTGGGACCAGGGAGGACAGCCGTGGCCGCAGTGGCCTCTGAGCAGCCAGCAGCAATGGATGCAGTCCTTCCAGCACCAGCATGACCCAGGTCAGTGAAAGATGCATTCACGTTCTAAACATATTTTTTTTTTCCAATAAGAAAAAAGCTGCACAATTGTGTGATTATCTGTTGAATTGTTGGGATTATTTGGTATTTATTTAGGTCAAGTGGACTGGGCTGCTCTGGCGCAGGCCTGGATAGCCCAAAAGGAGTCGACAGGAACACAACCACACAACATTCAGCCTAATGGTCAAGACCTCCCCGGCCATGATTCTGGTCCACCTGCTCCGCCGGCTAACCATGGAGCCTTTCAGGGTGAACCGGGATTTGGACGGATGTGGCAACCAGGTAAACGCTGCTTTGATTTGACTGTTGGCTTCACAGAGCGCCACTTCTCAGGTCACTTCTGCTCCAACTAAAAGATCAGAACTCTAAATGCTTGATGTCTCTGATTCAACACATACCTAGAGTGCTAGGCTAGCATTAGCTTTTTTTTATACTCTTTGTTTTGATATGACATTTTAAGTATTAAATTCATAGCATATTTCTAGTGAATTGTTTGGAAAATTGTTCAGGAAAGGCTGTTTTCCAGGTTTGTGAACTTAGTCCTTTTGTCGCGAATGTTGTAAAATGTAATAACTCGTATTTCAGCAGTTCTCTGTCCTGTTGCTTCTGAGAAATGCAGGTCATGTGACAGCGAGAACCAAAAGTAATTGTAAAAGGTGAAGATAACTTGGATCAGAGAAAACCCAGATTTGTAAGATCAGTGAAAAAATGTACAATATGAAAATTTTATTGTATCATCTCTTGGATTCCAGATGGTACAACAGGATCATCAGATACAAACTAGCATCAGAAGAATGCAGGTTGTGAAAACAAGAAGTCTCATTCTAACATAAACTGTGTAGATGTGATTGTGTCTTGTGCAGTTTTGATTATGAAAATTGTTGTTCATTCAGTTACCAGAGGTATTTTTTGACAAAAAATAATAGCAGTGTTTTCAAATATTACTCAAGCAGAAGTAATAAAGGATGGTTAAGTAAAACTTTTCCAAGATATGCAGGGTTTCCCCCAGAAAACTTGCTAAGCCCGGTGGTCGGGGTGACGAGACAGTCCACCGGTGGTCCACCGTGTTTTTGTATTAAAAGATGTTAAGGTGACAGAAAATGTAAAAGTATTACTGTGTAATTGTATGTTACGGGAAAAGATCTTCGTATTCACTTGGCAGTTAACTATATTGATGTAGGAGATGAGAGGCAGCTTGTCTGACATATTTTCCTTCTCATTCTCAACATATGGGTCGATCCCGACAGCAGCCATTTTGTTCTTGTCTTGTCTCGCTGTCAAAAGTGTCCACATATTTTCTTTTTTATTGGTCTCGAAGTCATGAGCCTACTATTCTTTGTACATACGCTTGCCTGCTAAAATGCCGCTGATCACTTCCTGTTCAGACTGTTGGGAACTATGTATTGACCCTTAGCATGTGACATCTGGCTCTTCAGAAATCTGTCCACTCCACCATGATGGACATCAAAACAACCACTACGCTCCTTTGAAGCATGTCAAGAAACAACCTGTCTATAATTGCTTGTATTTAGTTGATTTCAATTTAAAAAATGGTCATGGAGAAGGTAAGCGTGTAACTATTCATAACCATGGAGACAATGCCCCACTATCATGTGGCCTAGCATGTATGGAAAAAACGGTAACACTTTATTTGAAGGGGGGTGAATAAGACTGTCATGACACTGTCATAAACATGACATAACACATGTCATGAACATGAATAAGCCTTCATGAATATTTCACTGTTGACATTATTCAAAATGTCTTTGTTATGACAACTTGACATTAACCAAGAAATCATTACTGATTAAGTGACGCAGTTGCAAAGGGTTAATAGCTTGAGTCATGCAGAACTGATCTGACCGTTTCCATAGCAACGATCAGAAGCAAGACATTCCCCTAGAACTACAGCTCATTGTAGCTATGACATAGATCTATGTCATAGATCAAAGAATGTCTGAAGTTATGAATGCTTGCATCTCAAAACTTCAGGTAATAAACAAGAGACTCATTGACCTTACCGCTGTTTTACCAAGATTTATAGGATGGAAAAGACTTTAGTCACAATGTTTTTTCCCATCAGTTTTGGAGTTGGATATGTGATTACAACGGGAGTAAAGAAAGTTTTTAACAAACTACTTCCCGATATAACTTTTGAAAGAAGTACTTCTCAGGATGACACAGAATACGATGTTTTCGACTCTGACCTTTTCAATCCTTCCCCGGCTGGGGGGGGAGTTTTCCCTGGGAAAAAAATTAGCTCTCAGAACGTTTGCACTGACTCCGAGTATGATGTTATCAACTCTTACCTTTTCAATCCTTCCCCGGCTGGGGGGGGAGTTTTCCCTGAGAAAAGAATTGGCTCTCAGAACGTTTACACTGACTCAGAGTATGATGTTATCGACTCTTACCTTTTCAAACCTTCCCCAGCTGGGAAGCAAACTTCACTGGCTGGGGAAGACAATACCCTTGACAAGCCGACTGTAGCAGGGAATGATTTCTCCAATCGTTCCCCAGCCGAGGAACAAACTTCCTCGGGTGGGGAAAAAGCGGCATCAGAAGACTGGACCCCTGAAAAGAGATCAGTTCTAGACAACAAGTTCTGTGATCTCAAAGAACAAACTTCCCCGGCTGGGGAAGTTTGTGGTAAACGTTCGCCCCCAATGTTCTCGTGGGCAGTAGTTGAATATGAAGAAAAGCATGAAGACTCAACTCCTGCTCTGACGAAAGAGGCATCAGAAGACAGGACCCATGAAAAGAGATCAGTCCTAGACAACAAGTGCTCTGATCTCAATGAACAAACTTCCCCGGCTGGGGAATTTGTCTGTGTAAAGAAGACAGATGAGCTGAAAAACTCAACTCCTGCTCTCACTAAAGCGGCATTAGAAGACTGGACCCATGAAAAGAGATCTGTCCTGGAGAACTATTGCTCTGATCTCAAAGAACAAACTTCCCCGGCTGGGGAATTTGACGGTGAAAACAATACAGTCGAGTCTAAAAACCTAATTATTCATCTGCCGAAAGCGGCATTAGAAGATTGGACATATGAAGCGAGATGTCTCCTAATGAAAGATTTTCCCAAAAGTCCAAAAAAGCGGACTGTTAAGCCCAGACATCAAGCAGGAAAATTTTCTTGTTGGCCATTTTGACTCGCAGTATGTCACATCTGCTGCTCTCCTCCTGATATTTAGAATGGCAGAAGTAATTACCACTGGTAAAATGTATTTACCAGTGGTAATTACATGACCTGTTTCAATTCAATTCAAAAATACTTTAATCCCAAAGGGAAATTACATGCTGCAGCTCATCAAGATTCTTCAAAGAGCCATTGAACTCTGATAAAGCCTCTGACTGAAGATGCTCCGCCTTCCCAAGACAGTCTCGTCAAGAGGATGGTCAGGATTGTCCCTAATTTTCTTGATCCTACGAAGAATTCTTCTTTGCATTAACATCTCCAGAGGTTGCACAGTCGTTCCCAGAACAGAACCAGCCTTCTCTATCAGGCTGTTGAGCCTTTTTAGGTCCCTGGCTCTGATGCTGCTGCCCCCACAGATGACGGCAGAAGAGATGACACTCTCAACAACAGATCTGCAGCATCTTGCTGCAAACCTTAAAGGATCTTAGCTTCCACCAGTCTGCTCTGTCCCTTCTTATAGACGCTTCACTGATGCGTCTCCAGTCCAGTCTGTTGTCTTGGGTTTGAATCCTGGCCTGGGTTCTTTATGCATTGGGTTTGCATGTTCTCCATGTGCATGAGTGGGTTCTCTCCGGGTGCTCCGGCTTCCTCCCACAGTACAAAAAGATTTTGTGCACATTAGATAATAGATAGATGATGGAAGAAAATTCTATAATCATTTTAGGTAACACTTTATTTGAAGGGGGCTGAATAAGACTGACATGACACT